TTCCTTCTGCCTCAAAATAATCAAGACAATTTGCCTTCTGTTTGTATCCCCAAACTAGTTTTTAAACAACAACAACAACAACTTGAATGTGTACTACCTACCCTTCAGAAAGCCTCACCCTGAGTAGAATGCATAAGCCAAAGACAGATCTCCGCAGCTATGTCAGAGAAGCCAACCCACCAACACATTGGGGCACAGCTCTGCTCCCCATCTCTGCCTCTCAAAAAGGTGGGTATGATAATGCCACTTTCCTAGCTCGAGCTGTTCTTGTCGGTTTATTTTCTTCCGGTGAGCCTTGGTACATATTGGAAATACAAGTACGAACAGGCTGACATGGTCCCCGCTCCTGGTCTAGTACCTAGAGTTCAACTGAGTCAGTTCATAATGACAGCATCATGGGGAGAGTGGGTAGCAGAAGCTCACAGAGGGGTATCTCACCCCAGCTTGGGGGGTCAGAGCTCTCCCAGGGTATGACTCTAAACAAACACATAAAACAGGGACCATGAGTCAAGCAAAAAAAAAAAAAAAAAAAGAAGAGTTGGAGTCCACTGTATGACCAAACTTGCGTTCTGAAAGGCACTCTGGCACTGTGTGGGGCAGACAGGCTGGTACATATTGCTGGCAAGCGGCCATGGCTCACTCACGGCAGCAAACGCTTCCTGTGCCATCTGAGGAGCTCTGGGGAGCACCTTGCCGGCCACCAAACTGTGGGTGCTGTCACTGTTCCTTTACGACCAAATGGAAGGGGAGAATAACCAGAGAACCTCTGCTCCCCGAGACACGCCCAGAGAGCAGAAATGCCCACTACGGTTGGGTGACTAGGAAAGACACTTGTCGGCTTGGAGAGGCAGTAACAGGAAAGGCAGCGTGCCCCACAGGACATCTAGCTGGGAAACTGTCACATGCCGGCTTCATCAGCAGAGGTCCCGAGTACAGTGTTCTGGCTGAGGATGCCTGTGAACTGCCAGCAGGATCATGTGGTTACTCTGTCTGAGGATGGGAAAACACATTCCAGTCTCAATGTCTGAGTGCACCCAAACAATTCGAACCAGCACAGCTGCTCTGTTTAAGCAAAGGGCAGAGAGCGGTAGTCTCCACAATCCACTGCTGGCTCTTTAGGTTGCTTTTTTTTTTTTGGTATCCACTGTGGTGGTTTGAATGAGATATGCCCCATAAGTCTCAGGCATTTTAATACTTGGTGCCCAGTTGTGGCTGTTTGAGGATGATTAGATGTGGCCCTGCTAGAAGTATGTCATGGGAGACTTTAGAGTTCCGAATTAGCCCTCTGTTTCCTGTTTGCGATTCTAGATGCGAGCTCTCAGCTCTCAGCTGCTGCTCCAGGTACCTGCCACCATGACTTCACGCCACCATCCTGGACAATAACCCTTCCTTCTGTAAACCGCCTTGGTCGTGCATTTCAACACAGCAACAGAAAAGTAACAAAGATACCCACCTGAGCCTGAGGGTCACCTAAGGGATATGGCACAGGGGGCCCAGGCCAGTGAAAGAAAACTGAGACCGACTGAGAGCCTACAATGTGCCTGTCCGGCTAGGCGCTCTCCCTCCTGGAGAAGAAGTGTCTTTAGACCCGCTCTGCGGGTGAAGACGGTGGAACTATCCCAGTGGTCTAACCAGAAACACACGCTCCTCCCTTGTCATGCAAACCCCTGCCATGGTGGACTACTTGCCTCCTGCTTCCTAGAGGGTCTGAGAACATGGTTTCTCTGGATGCTCAGGTGATTCCAGCTCTATCAGAGAAGCTATGGATGACACACTGGCTTGAACTGACACATTCAACTCAGGGAAGCAGGGTGAATTATAAAACGTGATTTTAAATGGGAAAGCATGGCACAGAGGATGGCTGGGTCAGCAAAGTGCTTGCCTTGCAGGATGAAAACCTGTTTCATCCCTAGAACTCACACTTTAAAAGCCAGGAAGAGTGGCATACACACGTAATCCCAGTACTGGACAGGATCCCTGGGACTTACTGGCCAAGCAGTGGGAGAACCTGACTAAAGAAAAGTGGACAGTGCCTGAGAAACAACGCCCCAGGTTGTCCTCTGGCCTCCACACAGAGGTACATGTGTACACATACAAGAGCACAAATGTGCGCGCACACACACATGCACACACATACACACACACACACACACACACACACACACACACACACACACACACACACACCACAAATGGTGAGGCAAACCAACCTCCCAGGGACGGATAACTGTACAGAGCACCAGATGGGTAATAATGGAGCCCCCAGATGGGATGCTGAAGTAGGGATAGGCGGCCATTGTACACATGAGCGAAATTACCCTTCAGGACTCAGCATCTGAAGGAGATCCGGACAGACTCAGATGAAAATATAGTCATCCCACAACTACAGCTCAGCTTTCCATGGCCTCAGTTATCCACAATCAGCAGTCGTAGTCTGGAAATGTTAAATAGAAAAGTCTAGAAATAAGTAAATCCTAAGATTTAAGTTACATGCTATTTTCAGTAAAAAGGTTGTTGTGGTGTCAATAAGAATGGCCCCATAAGCTCATATGTTTGAATACTTGGTCCCCAGTAGGAGGAACTATTTGGGGAGGATTCGGAGGTGTAGCCTTAATGGAGGAGGTGTCACTGGGTGCAAGAATTGAGATTTCAAAAGACTCCCACTATTGCCAGTGTGTTCTCTCTGCTTCCTGCCTGCAGACCAGGAAGACTTGAGACTTGAGCCCTCAGCTGTTTCTGCCCCCATGCCTTCACTCTGCCATCACTGCCTTTACCCCTCTAGAACCATAAGCCAATTAAATGCTTTCTTTCATAAGTTGCCTAGGTCATGGTGTTTTGTTACAGCAATAGGAATGTAACTAATTCAGAACTTTGGTAAACCTGGGCCACTCCACTCAAGATGGAAATCATCTTTGACCCAGTGTCCTCACTGGGTATGCTACCTGCCCATCAACACCTCAGCAGCTGTCTTGGTTAATGGGGGACTGTTGTACTATTACTTAACAACAGAGCAAAGCATAAGATCAGTGATGCTGGTGATTCGGACATGCCAAAGAAAAGCTGTAAAGGCTTCACATAAAAAGGCAAAAGCTCTCAGGTTAACAAGTAGACGGGGGGGGGGGGGGGGGGGGGAGCCTAAGCTGAAGTTTCTAAGATCTATTACAAAGAACAAATCTCCCACCAATAAATTTACTGAGGAAACAGAACTCAAATTCAAGTCTAGATGCGCCACCTCCAAGTCCAAGAAAGGTAGTCACAGGCATGGCAAGCACTTCCTTAGGGTGGCACAGGCATCCAACTCTATGACTCAGTTCCACTGGGCTCTTGGAAGGAAGGCCTCCCCTGCAGACATGGACTACTGTACAGGGAGGGAGAAGTGTATAGTACAGCACTGTCTGCTATGTCACCAGCCCATGTCATGAACTTGGGGGACGTTGTGACAAGAGACCAGCTCGGCCAGGTTTAAGGCTGGCAGTGCAAGACGGTTGGTATGTGTGACAGTTTGTCATCACTGTCAACTTGACCAGATATGACTCCCCTAGTGTCTGTGAGGGCTTTTCCAGAGACCTACTCTGAATGTGGGTGCACTGCCCCTGCAGGCTGGGGTCCTGACTGACTAGAACAGAGACGCACTGAGCACAGCACTCATCTCTCTCCGATTCCTGACTCGGGTATGATGTGAGCAGCTACCTCACCACTACATGGTGGATATGCCCAGACTGTGAGCCAGAACAAGTTCATCCTTGAGTTGACTCTCAGGTGTTTAGTCACAGTGAGAAAAGCAACAGTAACAGCATCCTAAAAGTTGACATGTGACTGTTTCTCCCTCTGAACACAGATGGAAGACATGTATTTACACTCTAATGAAATCAATGAGAACCCCTTAAAACAAGCACAGCTTTGGGCTGGCACAGGCTAAGAGCAAGCTAGTCAGTCATATGCCAAGGACCAATAAGCCAGTATATGGGACAGCACTGGAGAACAGCATCTGTATTATTCAGGGGCAGAATTAAAATTCGGCCAGCTATAAGAACGAGATAATATGTAAGATACCCAGACAGCAAGACAAAACTGCCTTTGTGTTCAAACACTGTTCACTTTCCTCTGAGTTACGTCCCTCTACAATAGGGAACAGTATGCTGAGTCGTTTAGAGCTCTTGGCTAAAGAAAGGGTGTGAAGAGAGATGGGCAGTGGGGCCAGAATCAGGGCATTGCCGTCTTCTTCTAGTTCAGCCCCAGGGGGCGGTATTTATTGCCTTCCTTCAACACATCCAGAACAGTGTCCACACAGCAGGTGCCCGAAAAGAGGTGCCCAATTCTGTCTGCAATGGGCAGGTTGGGTATGTCGTAGCAAAGAGTGTTCTGCCCTCAGTTAGGAACGGATTAGGATTCCGACTCAGTACCTTCCAAGTGCAGGCTCTTTCTCACACAGACATTCAGACACAGGCAAGCCTGCAAACTCTCACCATGATGATTCTAACAGTACACAGGCACTGGAGAGAGCTGAGCTCAGAACATTCCAGGTGGCTGGAGGCGGCAACCACTGACAGATGACCAATGTCTGAGAAGCCTACTGACTGAAAACAGCAAATAACGCAATGTCACTCTCTAACCTAGAACACACAGGTGGGCGTGAATGGGGAGAAGAGCTACCAGCAGCTCATCAGCTCCGAACACCATGACTTGTTGAAGAGGAAGACAAGAGAAGGTCTGGCGCTTCTCCAGCACAGCCATTCACCTGTGCTTCCTCTCTGTCACGAGGTTAGCTGTAGGTATTGGACGGTCCCCTTCTCCTTCCTGGAGAGTTACCTGCTAAGACCCCCAACATAATGTACTCAAGGCTGCCTCTCTAGTGAGGAGGGGCCTGTGGCTGTTCTGCCCTTGGTAGCCAAGGGAATCTCTGACCACACCCATGCCTGGGCTGGGCCTGGGCCTGGCTGTCAATGGATCACAATGTCACTGGTGATTCCCTCTACTTCATCATGTGTCTGAACCACCGCTCCCACCTTACTAACAGGGAAAAGGGCCCAGGAGCCTTGAAGAAACCACTCTGCTCTTCCGGACACCAGGCAGCATTCCCTGCCAGCCTCATTAAGGGGGCTAACCACATGGCCATGGACAAGTTACTCTTTGTAAGATGAGGTATGGTGATCTACATGATTGTTACATAAAGGCCGAAGGACAATGACAGATAAGACTATCTCTGCTTGGCCTTTACAGGACAGAGGGAGGGTTGTACACAGGTTGTACCCAGGCAGAGGGCTGGTGGGCAGCACAGCAGTCACAGCTCTAGCTTCCTTAGAGGGCAACACACAATGCTGGACATTTGAGAAAGCACCTCCAGTTCACAGGGCTGGAATAACTGTGGCTACACAACCAAGTTTGAGCATAAGAGAGACAACAGAAGTTACTGGTTTGCCAGAACCTTCTAGTCAGACCAAGAGATCAGGGAATTCCATTCACTGTCAACTCAGCAAGAAGCCCAGGCCAGCCCTAGGCAGCAGGAACTGACCCCAGGAACAAGCCTTGCCAGCCCAAGGAACTGCAGTGAGCTGCGTCTCCCAAACAAATGAGTGACTGCAGTAAGGGAACGCCCACACTGGAAGAAAGGCCGAGAGCAAGTCCCAGAGCCAAAGGACAGTGCAGCAAGCAGAAGGCAAAACAGATGCGAACCTCACCTCCCCAGTCTGGCAGAATCCTGACCCCGGCCCCAAGGAGCCCGGAGAGCAGGGGATGATGACCATGAGAGAGGTGGAGAAGGCTCTTGCTTCCACATCCACGCCTCCTCCCAGTCCTCTAATGAGCACAAGGAAATCTGCAAAAGGTCAAGGTGAGGGAAAGACACAATCTAAAGGGGAAAGAGGAGGAAGGTGGGGCTTAAGTTAACTCGCCTCAAACACAGACAGCAAGCCAAGAGCAAAAACTACTTTGAAATGCCACTGTGAGCCCTGCCCTGAGTTGGAGACACCATGCACAGTTCTCATGAGGCACTGGAAATCTGCACAATAGACCAGAAAGAAGCACTCTGGGAGCTCAGTCTTGTGTCCATCTGAGAGTCCAGTACACTAAGACCCTATGGGCTTCAGTAACTGCCAAAGTAGGACCAGGTTTGGGGCAAACAGGTGGGTAAGCAGGCAGAGTGGGATAAAAGGAACAATGGGGACAAAGCTGGGGACACCTAACTAGACACACAGCAGGCTTTCAGAGAAGATGGGCCCCAAGTGACTGAGACTTTTTCACAGAAAGGAATGAGACATGGGATGGAAGAAGATGTGCAAAGGCCCTTGGGAAACCACAGTTCATTCTATAAGATCAAACTGGCAGAAGAGGAGCAGGCACGTGAGAAACCAGAGCTGGACAAGGAAGAGTGCACACACTGATGACACCGTGTCCGGGTCTTGCTTTAAAATACTCCAGTCCTGTTGGGGGAGGGGAGGTGCATGCTAGTAACTCAGAAGGCAAAGGCAAAAAAACTATAAAACTGTGGCGAGCCCAAATGTGACCTGTCCAGCCCTACCCAGGGCAGGGTGAATGAAACAAGACTAAAATGTTCTGAATATCAATCCAGGTTTCCAAACATTCTGGCTTGCTTTTCTGCTGCTGTGCTAGAACACCGACTAAAAGCAACGTGGGGAGGAAAAGGTTTATTTGACTTACAGGTTACATCCATCATTTAGGGAAGCTGGGGCAGGACCTCAAGGCAGGGGCTTAAAGCAGAAACCACAGAGAAAGGCTGCTTAAGGCTCGCTCCCTCTGGCCTGCTCAACTGTCCTTCTTTTTTGTTTTTTCAAGACAAGACTTCTCCGTGCAGCCCTGGATGTCCTGGAACTCGCTTTGTAGACCAAGGTGACCTCGAACTCAGAGCTCCATCTGCCTCTGCCTTCCAAGTGCTGGAATTAAAGGCATAAGCCACCATACTCAGCTTCAACTACCTTTCTTATATAGCCCAGGCCCACCTGCCTAGGAATGATACTGCCCACAGTAGGCTAGACCCTCCTACATCAATTATTAATCCAAAAAAAATGTACCATAGACATGCCCACAGGCCAATCTGATGGAGGCAATTCTTCAATTAAAGTTCCCTCTTCCCTTCCGGGTATTTCAAGTTGTCAACTGAAGCTATTATGACTAGAATTATGTAATTCTTACTTCTGCGTATATTTGAAATTTCCCATAATAAAACCTTTTGTTTCTGCAGGAAGAAGAAAAGATAGGAAGGACTGAGGAGGGCATTAGGGAAGCAATGTGTGTTACCTGGAGACCACAGATGGAAGCAGACTCAACTGTGCCACACACCACAAGTCACCATCATAGCAACACTAACAGGCAGGACTGCCAGTACCATTTCATAGAAACTGAGGTTGGGTAACAGACTCAGCTTCATGAACACTGTTGCTAGAATGCTCTGCATACCAGCAGTGGGGCTGGAATCATTCCCAAGAGAGATGGGGATCACTGGAGAGTGACAGATTCCAAGCCTTGAAATCTGGAGAGCACAAGAAAGGAGATGCCAGCGATATGGCTGAGCACAACCCTGAGCAGCAGCCTGAGGAGAGGGTGGACAGGATGGGATGAGAAGGCCAAAGGAGCTGTTGATGGCTGTAAGGCTCGGCCAGCACTCATAGGTGACATCAGGGCCTGCAGTGGGGCAAGACTCCCCATTTGGATTGCTTGTCTGTGACCCATGAGTGGCAAAGAACACTGTGATAGACAGGAGGGATCTCAGGGGAGATCTGGTGGAGGAAGGTGGGGTGGCTGGGTGATGTGTGAACTGCAGAGCTGATGAGATGGCCCAGAAAAGGGTGGAATGATGAGAAGATACACTAATCTTGCGGCTCTTCTCCAACCTGCCCACCGGGAAGAGACAAGATAACAAGAGACAACCCCAATTCCCTGTCTGCACAGTGACACGCTTCCTTCCCACCCTGGCTGAGGAGAGATGACATGGACAGTTCAGGAAAGGAATATGCCCTTTTAAGGCTCTGGCTATGATCTACAAAAGGTTCTGGACCTATATATAAACCACACAACACACCTTTGCAGTCCTGAAAAGGCTGGCAGAGCTGGGGTGCAGCTCAAGACGGAGTGCTTGGGCAGCATGCATAAGGCCCAGGTTCTATCCCCAGCACTGCAAAAACAGAGGTGTGGGCTGGGAGTAAATGGAAGAACGCCACGGGCCTGTTACACAGCTGTAGTTGTCCATAGATAGGCCAGCTCTGTGTCAGAGAAATCTGATTCCAGCAACAATAAGGTGACCATTGTCACAAACCACCACTAATAAGAACATTGAGATGTGGACCGGCCCGAAGCCTTGGGCTAGAAACCATTTCCATTCTAGGGCATTGCCTGACTCTCATTAGCATTTATACGGGTGCACTCCAAGAGCCAAGGCACTGGAGAAGCTTTGCCAGGTAATTTTCCACTGAGTCCTCAAGGCTGCCTTGCTCTGCCACAGTCAAAGAGGTTGCATGGATGACAGCTCCACATGCTTCAGAAGAGAAGAGCAGGAGAGGTCCTCTCCAGCCCCCAGGAGCATCCCCTCCCTCCCTACCCACGGGCATGCATCAATATTGCCTGGGCCTCTCCAGGTCAGAGCAGAAAGGACCTTCAGAGCACATCCAACCAACCCAACCCTTCAGTCAGTCAAGAGAAGACCATCAGCATCAGATGACACAGGAGCCACGTGACTGCTCACCATCTAGTCTCTACAGATGAGTTACTCTTACCCTGGTGACAACTCTAAACCAGCAGCTGCCTGGCAAGGCACAAAAGTCACCTGGTCAGAGTGCCAGTGACAAAGTAGGCATAATCCAAATGCTTCTTTCCAGACTGGCCTTTGTGTTCAACCTGTTCCCAAAGCAGCAGGCAGGCACACAGCATGCCCTGCAGCAGACCACGGGAGCAGACACAATTCTAAACTCTGGGACAGACGTCTTATTGAACCTCCAGGTGAGATGAATCCTCTGTGGTTTGGACCCTCGGTCTATTGACTGAGCCCTCCTATCTCCTCCGCTGTGGCCTCCTCATCCTTCCCGTGGCTTCTTCTGAGGAAACTCTCCTTGCCAGTGTACCTCACAATTAACGACCCTTCACCAAACTCCCAATCCCTCACTCCACACCCCAGGTTTTAGAAGGACAGAACTGACCCTCATGCTAACTTGCACTCAAGTGGGATGGACCATGACTGATCCTTGCTCAGGCACTTTAAAGAACTTCTGGAGGCAATACCTGCAATGGTGGGAGGCCTGGCAACAGAGTGAAAGCTATGACAGGGAGGCCAGAGCATCCTGGGAGTCTCTCCTCATCGCTGTTTGTGAATTCGGAACCACCAGCCCACCCTACTTTACTACTCAGATCTAAGCATCTCTCTGAAACACGCCCAACTTTGAAAGCTAAGGAGAAAACCAGGAAGGTTAGTCTCACACTCGGAAGTAATGGGATGTGAGCCAAGGTGCTTAGGCCCAGGAGCTTATATACGTAAGCACACAGCAGCGCTGTTGCACACCACAGATACACATGCATATGCACACTATCATGTGCTGAGCACAGCCACATTCATTCAATGCTTACTATGTGGGAGTTAGCTAAGCACCTCTCACATGCTAAAACAGATAGATGATCTACTACTGAGCTACATGCCAGCATCAATAGCCAATGCATCTTATAGACTATGTCTACTTCACCAATGCTATGATACAAACCCTAGTTCTAGCCTCATTTCAGTCAGGACACCCTCACTCAGGAAGAAGTTTATCACTTAGCCAAGGCACTGGATGAGTACAGAGCTGGATCAGAACCCAGGCAGCCTGACTCTAAAACCTGCATCCAGGCCCGTGCAGGTCCAAGCTCAGGGCATGTGCAGCATCTGCTTTGATGTCCAGTTTCCTGTCTGTAGTGTTGCGCTGCAATCCTTCTGTCATGCCTCCCATGAAAGGGGAGGTGCCAGGTCTGAAGCTAACTCAAGAGCTCCTCTGCCTCCCTAGTGCTGGGATTAAAGGCATTGTACTACTACACTTGGTTTAATGTTTTATTTTTAATCTTTCTGTCTGTCTGTCTATGACAGAAGGATTGCAGTTCAAGGCTGGACAGGTCTACAAAGCAAGTTCCAAGACAGTCAGGGCTATTACACCAAGAAACTCTGTCTGGAAAAAAACAAAAATAAATAAATAAGTAAACATTAAAGATGTTAGAAAAGTAGGAAGAAGAGGGGAAGAGGAGGGAGGAAAGAAGGAGGAGGGAGGCAGGGAGGGAGGTAGGGAAGTACAGAGGCAGCAACAGCATCTTGCTCTGCTGGCCTTTCCCAACTCGAATACTTGGAATCTTTGTTACTGCCAGTATCACCAAGGAAAGCAAAATCATGGCCGGCTCTTCTATGCAGATGCCATGAGTCCTCCCCTAGTTCTTGTCGGTGAATCTGCAGGTTCAACCAACTCCTAATGGAAAATACTGCTCTTACACTGAATGTCTACAGACTCCTCCTCGTCATTATCACCTGGGCAATACAGTAGGTACAGCAGCCATCGTACAGCAAATGCACTGTCTTGAGTATTATGCCACCCAGTGACGATGCGGCCCACGGGAGAAAGCAGGTATGGTGGCACACACTTAGATCCCAGCTACTCAAGAGGCTGGGGGAGAAGGATCACTTGGCGGATGCCTGGGCAACACAGCAAGAACCCATTTCCAAAAGCACAGAAAAACAGGAGGAGAAGGCAATGTATATAGTTAAATGTAAATACAGCATCATTTTATGTGGGGGACTTGAGCATCTGTGGACCTCCTAACTCCAGGCACAGGAGTTCCTGGGATCAAACTCCTACTGGGACCACAGAGGACCTTACACAAAGCAGCCTTCTGCCACAAACAAGTGAAAATCATCAATGCCTGAAGTTAAAAGCCTGGTGACAGGAGGCTGGAGTCCTCAGAAAGGGACTTCAGGACAAGTCAGTCGCTCATGTCTGAGCATAACAAGTGACAAAGTCTACACTGACTTCAGCAGGGACAGCGCTGATGCCAATTATTTTCTGCCCAAGTCGAGAGAGCTTGTCACCCTTCTGCAGAACAATTATCTATAGGTGCACCAGAGTTAGAAGCTCAGCTCTTTCCCCGAATCAGCATGGGGAAAGTGCTGCTCACAGCGATTTGACAGCGTTTCATCAAATTAATCTTTGAATGTGTTAGTCTAACAATTACGCCAACTACCATGTAATACTCCAACTGACTTTACAAAAATGAGGAAAACTCCCCCCAAGAAAATGAGCAGTCATTAGACATGCACGAGACCTTTCTATGGTCAACAGCACACAAAGTCCACCACATAATGGGTGGTGTCAAAGCCTTTTCCCGTGTCCTTCCATTCTCGGCCACAGCACAGAAAGCTGACCCGGGCAAGAACCCAACTCCCCTTCACACATTACTGCACGCACTGCTTTAAATTCCTCGGATAAAATGATGAATGGCAAATGTTTTAGCAATTAAAATCTCTTTTCATTTACAGAAGCAAGAAAAACATAATTAATGACTGGCCTCTTGCATGTTAACAGCTGGAAATGAGAATACTGCTTTCTGTCTTGAGGCTATTTCTTTCGTTTATTGGAGAAATATACATAAGGCACTCTCACCCTGACTTCTTATCTTTCTGGTTTTATGAATCTCAAAATCCTAAGTCTTTCCCTAAGTAAGGTGTGGAAGAAATAAATAACAGTAAGATTAGACGCCATGTCCTTCTACAGAAGTCAGTCTCCTGCAGCCTAGCCATAGAACATTTGTACAATTCAGAGCCAATCCATAAACAGCCTGAGCAGGAAAGAATACATCAGTTGATTAGTAATGTCTGCCCTGGAAGGAGAAAAAGTTTAAAGACCCACATACCATGTATTTTGTCTTCCCTGCCTTTTGAAACCATGGAAATGCATGTACACTAAATAGGTTTAAAAAAAAAAGTATAAATAAAATGTCACATGAATTTCTAAGATGTGGCCAAAAGGGAGAGATGTTTTTTAAGTTGAAAACTTAACCATCAAGTTTCAGGGAAAACAACAACTACCACACTCAAACTGTAATCCATCTAGGAGCTACGACAAAGCCAGTTCATGGGGCTTCAGTTTGCATGGCTCTAACACAAGAAGCTGAACTCTTTTGTGGTGACCCAGGGGACTAGTGAGAGGACTCTGTGGCTTTATAAGCATATCACCACATGTCAGGGCCATGCCTAAAACCTCCAAAGCTCCCAACACTGGCTATAGGATTTTATAGTTTATGACAAGCTTCCATAAATAGTTTAACCTGTATCATCTTGAGGCAAGAGTTCCACACACATGATATTGATATTTATTTATTTTAATACAATTTTTCCCCTCCTTGGGACAAAGGCAAGGCCAGGACTTGTTTCCACAGCCAAACCGCTGTTCAAATGGAAATTGCCATCACTTCAACGTGAGACCAGTCACCTCAGATAGCAGTCTCTGTCACCCAGTCCAAACTGTCCCACTGAAAAGCTCTCATCACTCGGGCTTCTTTACCCTTGTGACACAGCAATAGGACTTCTTCATTCAAACAGGATTTTCTGGGAGTCAAATCCAGCCACACATCTGCTGACCAGCTTCTACCCATTTACCAGGCAAACTCACATTCAGATCCCAGGCACACCCCCAGGAAAACCAGGAAGCTTCCACAGGGCAGTCTAAAAAGCAGGAGGTCCTGGCCCCAGCAACTGCCACTGTTCCAGCCTGGTGTCTTCTGCTCTGGTTGGGTATGTTTAAGTGGGTGTTGTCACCTCCACCAATCTTCATTGGTGAGAGGGTTTGTCCTTAGCATGGTAATGATCCCTTAAGAGGTGGAACCTAATAAGAGGTCAACTGGGGACATGTCCTCAGAAGTGACTGGGGGACACCAGCCCTCTGACCTTCTTCCTGTCTGACGAGGAGATCTGTCCCTCCTACATACTCACCTACGGCTACGGTACTCTGCTATGAAGTCCTCACCAGGATCAAGCCAATGAGTACCTTGACCCGGCATCTCTAAAACCAAGGCCTAAATAAACCCTCTTATTTATAAAGTTAGTCTACCTCAGGGTCTTCATTACAGTAACAAAAACAGACTAATAACACTCTTCTTTTAGGAAACAGTCTTCTCCATTACCAAGGAGAATCACTCCAATGAGCCAAGCTCCGACTCCCACCCACCCAAACAACGAACCTCTGCAAGGGCCCCACCACAAAGGGCCTGGCACAGCCACTGGGAGCTCTCTAGGCATGAGGAGGCACAACTCTGCAGCTGCCAGGCCATCCTTTCTCCCACCACGAGAGTCTCCGGGCAACAACAGCAAGCAAGCCCTGAGACGCAGTGAGTGACACAGCCAAGCACGCCTTGACCCTCATGAGCTCAGCTTCGAACCAGGGAGTTCCTGACCATTTCATTGATCATTTTTGATGCACTGAAGCTTCCTCCAACTCCAGGGTGGGTTTCTACACCTGGTACCACAGAATTTGGAGGAAAGGTTTTAAAAGCCAAATCAGTATATTCAGAGTCCAAGTTCTTTTAGTCCTCGGTGACAATCATCTTTGTGAATCTCCAACTCACTTCAAACCGAATACTAAAAGAAGCCCGCCAGAGAAATTCAAAGAAAAAAAAAAATCACACAGCAGAAAAACTATCAAGGCTCATCTGTCGCCAAGACCCAAGAGGGAGAGGCCAGGAAGGAGAGGGCGAAGGGTGGCCGGGGGAACACAGCCGTCCACCATCGACAGGTCTCAGGAGCTACCCGAGTGTACTGAGAAGGGCTTCCCGAAAGTATGTGCCAGTTTCCCTCCCGTCAGCAGGAAAACACACAACACACAGCAGACAAATGAAAGGAACTCACAGGGAAGCAAACTGCTTCTGGGTTGGTGAGCCCGGTGGTTCCTGTCATTTTAGACTACTGTTCAGTTCTCCTCTTCCAGCTTCCCCAGGGCCACGCCATGGACCTGCTTGCTCAACGACATCACAAAAGTCACACTCTGTAGCACATATTAAAATGGGTTTAGGAGAAAGTGGAGCATAATCTAATCCATAGCACTCTCCAGATAATCTTCCACCATGACAGAGAAAAGACAATGCAAGACCATAAAAAAAAAATCTGAGTGGCTAAGCCTTCCCATCGCCAGTCTAAACTTTTAACAGTCAGGACTTCCTGGTAAACTGAGGGAAGCTAGGACAGATGCACCTTCCTCAGGCAAAACTGCACACACCACAGCACACTGTATGTAACACCACAACACTGTATGTAACACACTACATGTAACACACCACAACACACTTCATGTATCATCCAGGGTTCCATAATCTGCTCTCCACACCCAATCTCCAGGCTAAGCACAGCTGATCTAGGATTCCTTTTCAAATGTAATTACTTGAGCATCATTATCAACTCCAAAGGCTTCAAAGGGATGAAACATCACTTATTGGAAACCCTAAAATTCCAACTCTGCAGCCCATGCAGATTCCGAGATGCAGAAGAGAACCTGCTCCCTTGTTCTGCATTGCTAGGAGAAACACTGGGTTTTGCTCTGTCGGCTCCATCTACAGTACCCCCTTACCTTGTTGGACCATTTGTACGCTTGCAGCAGCTGGCTGTAGAGTGGAGTTTTGTCCTGCACAGGATCCAGGCTTAGCAACCCGCTGTTGTGAAGAGGGTGGTTCTCAGACGGCTTGCCTACCAGATTGCTCAGACGTTCCAGCTCACTAAAAGTAAAGAGAGACACTACATAAACCTGAGTCCGCTTCACTCCATCAAGGCTAAGCACACTGCGCAAGGCTGGATGCCATCAGAAGTCTCTTAAGAAGAGGTCTGGAAAAAGACTTAGGGCTAAGAAGAGAATGCCTGAGAGTTTTCATTTCAAACAGACCTTTCCAAACCAGTCATGGTGGCCCATCCCTTTGATCCCAGCACTAGATGGATCATGAGATCCATGAGAATTTGAGAGCAGCCTGGTCTAGATAGGGAGTTCCAGAGCCAATTAGGGCTACACAGTGGGACAAAGAAAACAAAACAAAATATAGCTGTCTCGTGCCATTCCAGAGGGAAAATAAAGCTAACGGTACAGAGAAACAGTAAGTTTCCCAGAAGTTAGGATTTAACAACTCAGATTCACGCACAGCGGAGAGGTGTTCTGTGATCTTGCAGTGTGGTATAACACTGCCTCTCATTCAGGATTTTCGGACCCACGTGCAGCTCTCTCCATTTGGCAGAGCAGCAAGGACCTGAATAAACCATGATTATTTATCATTTCACATTGGGATAGATTTGTGCACGGTGCTTCACAGATGGCAAAGCTTTAGCAAGACAAAGAGATAAAGTAAACAACTGGAATGGGAAGACAGCACTTCCCATTGAGAGGCTGTGTCAAACAAACACACTTCCGTCCAGCAGGGAAACTAGGGAGAAGTTGGGAAAGCGAGCCGACAGCGGGAGCACACCCCCCGGGAGTGGAGTCTGAGGAGCTGCCCCAGATGCCAACAAGCCTCTGTGAACGGCTCCCTTGCGGCATCCCGTCCAGACTCTTCAGCCCCCTTCTTATTGGCAATGCTATACATTTAATAAGTCACAGGAATGTCCACACTGCTAAAGTTTCTAAAGTGAAAAGGGCTGGAACCTCCCATTAGAAAAGCAGAGGAAAGAACCTGAAATGGAAGTATGTGTGTGATGGTGGTGACGGGTGGGAGCATGTCACCCTCAAGCAGGGCAAGGATTACCTGTTGGGGACACTGCAATCAAAATGTGTGCAGGTGGGATTTAAGACGGGGTGTGGAATACAGGGGAGGGAAAGCACCCAGTACTTCACTACCACTTGCTCCTCCATCCCGCCAGACCAAACTGGAGGGTGCAGGGAGTGGGGGGGGGGGGGGCAGTTAGCTAAGTAGTGAAGAACCTGCCTGAACCAGGCACTGTGGGGGGACATAACATGGGAGAAAGAAAGCCCAATCTATCCAGAAATTCTGACTAGCTCACCAAATGCTGTTCCTGTTAAGGTCAATTTCAGAAGTAAAAGGCCAAAGTCCAGCCGGGCGGTGGTGGCACATGCCTTTAATCCCAGCACTCGGGAGGCAGAGGCAGGCGGATCTCTGTGAGTTTGAGGCCAACCTAGGCTACAGAGTGAGATCCAGGAAAGGCACAATGCTACACAGAGAAACCCTGTCTCGAAAAACAAAAAACAACAAAACAAAACAAACAAAAAAAGGCCAAAGTCCTTCCATTCCAACCTTCTAAGACAAGAAGAGAATACAAGTGCAGGCAAACAAGAAGTACCTACTTCTGGGTGTGGTGGTGCACACCTTTAATCCCAGCACTCAGGAGGCAGAGGCAGGCAGATTTCTGTGAGTTTGAGGCCAGCCTGGTCTACAGATCCAGTCGGAGGACAGCCAAGGATATACAAAGAAACCCTGTCTTGAGGGGGTGGAGGGGAGTTCCTATTATGTACCAGGTATCTGACAAATATCCTCTCAGTTAATTCTTTTCTCTGTGTAACCCTGGCTGTCCTGGAACCGTCTCTGTAGAC